AAGATTATGTTTAGGTTATGATTTAAGAGCAATCAATAGGAGAAGATTTTCCAGCTGAAGTTCATATTGTATGTGGAGATATGTTCTTTTGGATGGTAAATATATTAAGTGCTTAGTTTCTATTGAGTTTATTTTAGGTAACTACCAGAGGAGGGTAGAAACTTGTTTGTACTTGTGTAGGCTGATGACTAGCAAATACTGTATACACCAGAATGCAGAAGGGTTGAAATTAGGGAGAAGATCTTAGGATGGATACTGTCACAATATGTGGGTGACTGAATTATCTACAGCTTCACAAAGATCTAGTTCAATTAAAAGACTTGAGTGGAGACCATTGCTCCAAACAGTGAGAGATGATGACTGTTTTTGGTGTTGACTGGATAGAGAATTATTCTGTAAACAAGCACAGTTGAGAAACTATGATGAGTAGATGAGTGGAGATGGTACCAGAAGCAAATTATGAAGCAGGAACAGTTATTCATTTGTGACGAAAGAAGTACTTCCAAGGATTTGAAACATCAGCAGAAATAAGTTCATAAAAGGTTTGCATTCATAAAGTAATTAAAATCTAAGTTAATAAGTGATCAATAAATAAAAACATCTAAAGGAGTATGAAAAATTATGAATAAAGCAAAAGAGAGAGTAATTGTATTATGCTCAATTACCAGAAATGGCTGAAAGAGATGAAGATGATCCATCAAGGCCAACGCTCAATGATAAATGTGAAAATAATAAACTTAATGGGATTAATGTGTTAACAAGTGCATTGGTGAATTATGGCATGGAAACTGACAGAAACAGGCATCTAACACTGCATCGCATGAACTGCTATTGGGTCGACCCTTGCAAGAAACCATATGAAACTTTGCATAAAACCTTGCATATAATCTCACTTATAACCTTGCACATAACCTCTTGGAATGGTTTGCAAGGATGTCTAATGCAGTAGGGACTTTTATGAAGTAACAATTGCCATGTGCAAAGAGATATCTGTGCAGGAAACCAGAAAGGAGCCATGTGAGAGAGCAGTGATACAAGGTCCAATTAGTCCAGCTGATCGAGTCTATCTGTGGATGTTCTGGAAAAAGGAGAGAGCTCAGGAGGAAAGGACCATATCTGGATGAGGGCAAATCCAACAGCTGCCAAAGTGGATGCCATTAATGGGGTACCAATGCCTCAAAGGAGCGAAAGGAAACAACTCCAGCAAGGGAAAGCTGACCGGAAACAGAGGAGCCTAAATATTCTAAAGCTCTAAACTACTAAGTGCAACGTGTGGAAGGAGAAGTTAATCAGAACAAAGTAAAGAGTGATTCTGATAATATGCCTGAATACCACATACAGCAGTGCCACAAGTCAAGGGATGATGAATGCACAACTGCAGATTTTAAAACTCAGACTCTTAACCACACATCTCCATTAACATCTATTAAAGTCAAGTGAAGATGCTGGTAGCTTAGAAGAAGAGAAACAAGGATGACCAAAGATCAAGATTAACATTTGATGCTTTTTATGTTTGTATATTGAATTTGTTTGCATATTGCTTTTATGGTACCTATATATAATATCACTTCAGTATATTCTACATGAGTGTGAAAACCAGCAGCTAGGACTGAACCAACTGAATACTTATGCTTAAAATATTGTTGTCTTTGATGTGTTAAGAGAAAAAAACAGAGTACAGTCTTTTACTTCCTTCAAATCAAAGGAGAGGGGAGATGTTTGGCTGGACTTCTGTCAAAGTACAGTGGCATAATCTAGTCAATTGATAACAGCTATGTGGGGTGTGTCATAATTACCTGTATAAAGATTATGGAGAACACAGATACTTTAGAAGGTGTCCCGGAGAGACTTCAGAATGCTCTGGGGTCTGCTCTGCTCTTTCTCGGCTTTATTATGGAGAATAAAGTCTATTTTCTGATATTCAAAACCTCCGGTCTGATAATTTCTAATTGATGAAAAGTCGAATTCACGACATGACCCCGTTCAACCCGGGGATGCTGCGGCCACAACGCAAAGTTTTAACCACTATACGATCACGGCAAGCTACGAGACAGCCGTTGTGACCCTTGTGTGGTATGTTCGTGCCTGTGATAAGCCCCTTTCTCTTCAGTGAGAACACTCTGTTGTTTTTCTCCTTCTACCAGCACAACGCTTTTCCCAAGAAACAATGGAAATGCAAACAATTGATGACTGCTGCAATTTTAAAAACGTGGAGGACGTAGTCAGTAGGATTCAAACCTGCGCAGGGAGACCCCAATGGATTTCTAGTCCATCGCCTTAACCACTCGGCCACGACTACAAGACTGCCTGTACTGCCATTTCTTTCTAGCTAGTACACATATTGTGCATCCAGATGAAACTTTCATCAAGCGATAGCTCAACAGCAAAAGCTGTGGCTCCACAAAATGAGCGTCACACACCCAAACAGGGACTTGAACCCTGGACCCTCAGATTAAAAGGCTGATGCTCTACCGACTGAGCTATCCAGGCTCCACAACAGTAATTTACAAGTAGGCAAGGTTTGGGTTGTGGTCGGCGCAGACCTTTACAGTACACTAAAGTTTACCGTGAGATGGGGTTTTAAGCTTATGGTTGGTGTGGATGTTGCTAAAACACGACAGGTTACTTTGAGGTTGGGTTTATGGTTTTTGTAGGTGTAGACATCAGTACAACACAATAGTTTGGACTTCATGTCATGTAGGAGACATTAAATAGATCAATGATTACTGCAGAATGTCTTTCTGCTGTTGTGGCAATGAATGGACACTCAACAATTGAAAAGATTCCTTCCATGCCTTAGAAGCGTGACTTGATCAGTACTTATCTACACAGCATGCTGGCATCAAAGATCCTATTTCTCTTATATAATATCCCTAGTCTTCCACACTTTAGAAAACGTAAACATTCAGGAAGTGCCATTAGCACAGCCTGCACTAAAAGAAGGCTGGAGATAACGGATGGCAACACAGAGTGCGACACCAATGTCACCTTGAAAAACCTGCCGTGACCCGGATTCGAACCGGGGTTGCTGCGGCCACAACGCAGAGTACTAACCACTATACGATCACGGCGAGCTATGAAACAGCCGTTGTGACCTATGTGTGGTATGTTCGTGCCTGTGATAAGCCCCTTTCTCTTCAGTGAGAACACTCTGTTGTTTTTCTCCTCCTACCAGCACAACGCTTTTCCCAAGAAACAATGAAAATGCAAACAATTGACGACTGCTGCAATTTTAAAAAGGGGGAGGACGTAGTCAGCAGGATTCGAACCTGCGCGGGGAGAGCCCAATGGATTTCTAGTCCATCGCCTTAACCACTCGGCCACGACTACAAGACTGACTGTACTGCCATTTCTTTATGCCTAGTACACATATTGTGCATCCGGATGAAACTTTCATCAAGCGATAGCTCAACAGCAAAAGCTGTGGCTTCACAAAATGAGCGTCACACGCCCCAACAGGGACTTGAACCCTGGACCCTCAGATTAAAAGTCTGATGCTCTACCGACTGAGCTATCCGGGCTCCACAACAGTAACTTACAAGTAGGCAAGGTTTGGGTTGTGGTCGGCGCAGACCTTTACAGTACACTAAAGTTTACCGTGAGATGGGGTTTTAAGCTTATGGTTGGTGTGGATGTTGCTAAAACACGACAGGTTACTTTGATGTTGGGTTTATGGTTTTTGTAGGTGTAGACATCAGTACAACACAATAGTTTGGACTTCATATCATGTAGGAGACATTAAATAGATCAATGATAACTGCAGAATGTCTTTCTGCTGTTGTGGCAATGAATGGCAATGTATGTTCCTCCATGTGATATGCCCCTTTCTCTTCAGTGAGAAGACAGTTGTTTTTCTCCTCCTCCTACCTTTTCCCAAGAAACAATGGAAATGCAAACATTGATGACTGAATTTTAAAAAGGAACAGGATGTGGGTATAGTTAGCAGGACTTGAACCTGCGGGAGAATACCCCAACCGATTTCTAGTCGATCGCCTTAACCACGCAGCCATGACTACAAGACTGCCTGTTCTCCCATGTCCTCATGCCTAGTACACGTGTTGTGCATTCAGATGAAACTTTCAGCAAGCGATAGCTCAACGGCAAAAGCTGTGGCTCCACAAAGAGTCTCTCATGCCCGAACACGGACTTGAACCCTGGACCCTCTACCGACTCCGCTAAAGCTGGGGAACAATAGTCTGTTTTGGAAGGGGAAGAAAAAAGCACAAGAAAAATAAGAAAATTTGAGAAATTGAGAAAGAAAGAAGCGAAATTAAGGTTATATTTTGTATTTTTTGCCCACCAGAAACTACTCAATGCATATATAACAGTACTGGTTCAAGAAATATGTCCATAAATAACACTTTGGGTAGATCACAAGGTTCAATCCCTGACTGGAGCAGGTATCTAACCAGATTAGTAATGGGTCGATCATAAACATTTCGTTCATTTTAATAACGAATCTTCAATATGATTTGGGAACTACAAGTCCTCTCAGGGAGTGATTTGTTAATTTGCGCGTGCGTACATTTGTGCAGGTGGTATCGTTATTTCAAGTCTTCATCACATTTCGTGTCGTTCATCGCGGAAAGGCAGAAACCAATCATATGCGTTTAGAGCCGAAAAAGATTTGATCCGTTCACCTCTCGAGTCCTCTATCGGGTCTGAGTCACTCGTTCATTACGGGCCAATCATATCCGTTTAGAGCAGGAAAAATATTTGATCCGTTCATCTCTCGAGTCCTCTATCGGGTCTGAGTCATTCGTTCCTCACAGGCCAATAATACGCGTTTAGAGCCGAAAAAAAGAATTGATCCGTTCATCTCTCGAGTCCTCTATCGGGTTTGAGTCATTCGTTCCTCACGGGCCAATCATACGCGTTTAGAGCTGGAAAAAGAATTGATCCGTTCATCTCTTGAGTCCTCTATCGGGTCTGAGTCACTTGTTCATCATGGGCCAATCATACGCATTTAGAGCTGGAAAAAGAATTGATCCGTTTACCTCATGAGTCAGGTCTGAATTTGGAGAAAAGCTCCGCCACTGCACTTGACACCACCAACACTGGTTTGAAGTGCAGCTCAGATTAAATACTCTCTCTCCTCTCTAGAAAGATCCAATGATTGCTACCAGGTGGACACAGTTACCTGCAGGGAGAGAGAGAGGAAAAACACAATGCTCATTGTCCACCAAAAGATATGTCTCAGGACGCAAGCCCTGGGATAACCGCTATCACCCTCCTAAAGCATATACAGGCAAGAAATCCATTAATTAGTTGTTATGGAAGTTATTCATTAAGCTTTTAATGTACTACACAAAATGGTAATCTAAATGTTTATTTTATCATTAGTTTTATTTATTATATGTTTTTTTATTGTTTTATTTTTTTAAGGTGAATTGCTGGGAATGGAGCACCTTTACAGCCAGACCGGCAAAACCCTGACTCCGGTGCTCCAGAACCCAGAGGAGGAAGACAGGCTGGTGGAGGAAGTACATGACGAGGATCTACAAGATGACAGGTTTGAGGAGGAGATCATGGAGGACATCACAGTTCCAGTGCTGTATGAGGATGACCCCTGCCGTGATCTCAGAAACAGCCCCTCATCTTCGCCTCTGCCTCAGTCCCCAGCATCACTGGCTGAGCCGTCCACATCAGCTGGTGGAGAAGGACAGCTTCCTAGCCCAGCCCCTCAGTGCCGTCACAGCCATCCAAGTCTGGAGACAGTCTCTCTGTTGAGGCTCAGGTAAGATATATTAAGAACTTAATTTGATTTAGTCTTTTTTTATTCCACATATACTAAATTTAATTTGTATTTACCAGGGAGTAGTAATTGGACCTGATGGCATTGCTGGGTGGGACAAGGTCCAGGATCTGGCTGCTTATTTGGTAGGTCTTCGTGAGTCTCCTTACCTCACTGACCTGCAGGTGACAGAGGCCATCCAGCTGTGGACAGCTCTCCTGGATGTTGATAAACAGCGCATCAACTACCAGCCTCGACATCAGCCTCAGCTGACACATGGGCGCTTTAAGGCACCGAAGCGCTCCGGAGTCACTCCAGGTGTGGAGAGCGTCAAGCGCTGTCTGATTGGACATCCTGAGGGTCCAGCACAGTGGCCTAGCACCAGCCGCTTGGTTGAGGCCATTTGTACAAAGCTGTGTGTCGTACACAAGTCCACTTCCAAGAAGGCTGGTGTTCGCACGCACAGGTGGTCTAAAATACTGACCGATTACCACCACATCCGGGATCTGGTGCTTGGCAGTCGCAGGCTGATGGATGAAACAGTGATCCAGCTTTTTGAGCTAAATCAGAAGACGCTCATTCAGTGGTAAGCAAAGCACATTATTTTCTTTAAATTACCTGAATACTTCTAAATTAATATAAATGAATAAAACATATCATTTATTATCAGGTTTCAACGGAGGCAAAAGGATCAGGAAATGAGTGTACTCACTCAGGGACTGACTCCACTTGATCCAATTGCTGTGGCAGATACGCAGCTTCCTTTGCCGAGGGGAAAATTGGACGAGGCACCGACAACATCAGGCCCCAAACACCAGTTTGTCTTTCCTCCAAATAAAGAAGGACAGGCACCTCTTCTTCGACCTGGTCGAAAGTCTGCTTCTGCAACCACCACAGTTTGCTCCTTCCTGCCGGATGCCACCACGGTGTGCTCCTTTCCACCGGCCCCCACGACGGTATGCCCAATCGCGCCAACCCCCACCACAGTCTGCCACATTGCACCAGCCCCTACCATGGTGTGCCCCGTCACACCGACCTTCACCACAGTGCGCCCCATCTAGCCAGCCTCCACCACAGTGTGCCCCATCATACCAGCCTCCACCACAGTGCGCCCTATTGCGCCGGCCCCCACCACAGTGCGCCTCATTGTATCTGCCCCCACCACGGTGTGCTCCTTTCCACCGACCCCCAGCACGGTGTGCCCCATTGCACCACCCCCCACAGCACCAGGTGTTGTGCAGCCCATTTCAGGACCTGGATCAGTTTTTGGCACACTTGTTTTTAACCCAGACATGAGTGTGTCAATGATGATTCCATCATTTGCTGCACCAACATCCAGTGCAGTCCCAGCTTCACCTGCACCTGCTGTTCCTCCACCTGCACCTGCTCCACCTGCACCTGCTGTTCCTCCACCTGCACCTGCTCCACCTGCACCTGCTGTTCCTCAACCTGCACCTGCTCCACCTGCGCCTGCTGTTCCTGTGTCCCGTTACACCCAGAGGAACAGGCGCAGACGGGAACAGGAGAAGAAAAGTGTTTGCAGCAAATGTGGGCAACCAAAGACTAAGGAGTTTGGCCATAGCCGATTTGTCCTTAGAGGACTGGTTGGCAGAACAGCGCCAGCAAAATAAAGGACAAACTCCAGCTCCAGAATAAAGGACAAATTGCTGTATATATTTTTGTAAATGTTACATGGGTACTCTCTCCCTCTCATTTTATTTAATTTTTGTGTGTTAATATTTAGCATTTTAAAGTGGCACTTATAGGCCCACTCTTATTTTGTCTTGTGTGTACTTATTTAATATTTGTGTGCATTTTATGTAAAAATATATTTATATTTCTTTAAAAAAATAACATTTTATACATTGCTTAAATACTATATTATATATATTACGTGCCCCCACTCTTGCATTTTATTATGTATTTATATTATTGTTTAATATATTGTGTATATAAAACTAAATATATATATAGAGTGTTGTTTTTATATAATGTGTATAATAAGTAAATATATATATATATATATATATATATATATATATATATATATATATATATATATATATATATATATATATATATATATATATATATATATATATATATATATATATATATATATATATATATATATATATATATATATATATATATATATATATATATATATATATATATATATATATATATATATATATATATATATATATATATATATATATATATATATATATATATATATATATATATATATATATATATATATATATATATATATATATATATATATATATATATATATATATATATATATATATATATATATATATATATATATATATATATATATATATATATATATATATATATATATATATATATATATATATATATATATATATATATATATATATATATATATATATATATATAGATATA